ACGCTGGGGGAGTCTGAGTCTCTGGTCTGCTGACAGCCGGCTCCTGGGAATGGAAGTGTTATTTTCCCAAAGAGCTTCATCTGCTCTGGTTCATATGTGCCAGTTCCTCGTCTGACTAGAAACTCCTGACTTTATTTTTAAATACAGACTCCATAATAGGCTAAGTAATCGCAGATCTTCCCGAGACCTTATTTTACATGACCCAACATACTGGCCTTCTTCGAACCCATATTTTTTTCCCGTAAATATATGTTGAACACCTTAAATTTCAGCATTCTATGTAGTGGTAGTGTTTATTTGTTTTTTTTTTCCCCTCCCGTAGGAATCCTGAACAAAAAAAGGACAACGAAAGAAATGCTGATGCACAAGTGACAATTTCTCAACAATGGGCGTCTGATTACTCGTCTAGGTAAAAGGATTCTCCTGCAACCATAGGTAAGAAAAATGCGTATTACAATGTAATACATAATCAAACGTCAATAATACAATTTCCATCCTGGTGCCACTAAAGCTTGAACAGCTGCAGCTCTCACTGTCTTTGCTGATGTGGCCCATAAATACTCCTGGGAAATGGGACAAGGATACATTAATGGATCTTCACCTGCCAAGATCAGGGAAATGAATGTCAATCGCACCCTGATGCAGACGCACTTCTTGGTGGAGAGTGATGAATATTGCCATTTGTCCTATGCCACTGTAATCTTGGACAGCAAAGCCTACCATGGAGAAAAATGGTGGGAGAAGAAGCTGTTCTAGGACACTTGAAAAGAAGAGTGTGTCATAATTATTTGGCCACCAGAAATAAAAGTGAAAGAAGTGTATAACAATATGATTTAGTTTAGAGAAAGGTCAAAATTTAAGAGGATCCCCACACTGTACATATCCTTTCATTCGGTATAAAATTTTCCCTCAAAACAGGAATCTTTTACTGAAGGCCAAATGTGAGAAATATCAGGGAGGCACAAAATTTTAGGGTTGTTCATGTTCCCAGAAACAATTCAGTGTAGTGATGAAAGGGTGTGGGTTGACAAGTTAGGCAGACGTGAGTTCAAATCCCGACTCTACCACGCCCCTGCTGGTATGACCTCAGGAAATGACCTGACTCCTCAGGTCCCTGAGTTTTCTTTTTAGATAGAGCAGTGATAATAACAGAGCCCACCCTGGGCAGTTGATTGAAGGTTACATGATATAATTATGATGAAGACTAACAGTAAGTGCTAGGTATTGTGTAGTGGCTGTTGTTTCCCCCTCTTCCTCTTTCTCCATCACCGTCATCTTCGTCCTATCATCCCAGCTGGTACGAGGCAGTCTCCCCGGCCCACATCAAACTCCAAAAGCAGTACTTCTAATCACAAAAGTTTTCTTTTTAAAGCTTCGCAACATAACTTAACAAATGTATCCACCTAACTCATGTCATTCTTGTTTTATCAAGCAATGACTACTGTAACAGATACCTTCTTAGTAAAAAGAAGAACCCCCCCCCCGCAAAAAAAAAAAAAAAACTGATAGAAAGCATTGGGTACGATCAGACACGAGGCCCAGATTTAGGGACATCACATGTTCTTTGTGAAAAGGGAGGAAGCAATGACATGCCCAGTTCTCCGAGGAACTTAGACAAGGTCTTTTTCTGTTTTCAGTCATTTGGAATCACAGGCTAAAGGCTACTTCATTTTTTTCTTTCCCTTTTTAAAAAAGACTGCCTTCCGAAGGTCTAGGATGAGTGGTGTCTGAGTGGCTTCTTCTAATTCTGTAATTCTGGTGGTTTAATTGTATCAAGCCCACAGAGGCTTTCCCGTGGGTTGTCTAAGGCTGTGGCAAGTCCTCTTACAAGTGGAGCTCGCCACTGCGAGTCGGCAGGGCCTTTCTGCAGGTGTGCCCCAGAACTGGATGAGGGGCCCAGCCCAGGTCGCCAAACAATGGAAACTTCCCGTTCTGGGTGTTAACTTTAGTTACCACAGCCAGACAATGCTGCCAGTGGTGTGGAAGAAAAAATTGCTGTAGCCAGCTGTGCTGTTCACAGTCGGATGGATTCTGTGTAGCTCCAAATGGTGATGGAGCCAGCAGCCTGTTGTAGCCAAGGACAGGATGATGGATGATCTACATACTGTGTCCAAGTAGAGAGAATGGCAGAAGTTCACTTCAGGGTTGTTAAAATGCTAATCTGGGGGAGTTAACAAAGGCTTAATAGAAACGAAAAGTTTGAGAAATAAGTACACCTCATGTGGTATCTATGTGGACCACTGATTTGATCGCCCTTGGTTACATAAATGGTGGCTTTTCACAGTAAAAACCCTTCCTAGTTTTCCTGTTGGATGAATGGAAGCGGCTCCAAAGTATTTAGCCGTACTGCCACTGTTGTCATGGTCCGAGTAGAAAAGTCAGCCCAACAATAGCCACCTCAAGTGAAGAAGGTTATGATATGCTTAATATAGTTATATGAATTTTATTCTCTCTCTGTGTCCTGGGAATAAATCAAAACACACTTTTTTTCCCCCCAACTACAAGTTGGCCACTGTTCATGAAATAAGCAGCAACCTAAGACATGGGCTTTGGTGGATTTCAAAGTGAAGTCTCCATTTGCATGAGTTACCCCGTTCTAATGACAGTTTCAATTTGTGAATTACACTAATAGTATACTGAATGATTAGTGTTCACAATTTAGGATTCAACGGCATGCTTCAAAAATGGGGGCATATTTACATTTCTTGCCAAGTGATCCATTTTGCCACGCTCTAGTTCTTTGCATTCTTACTTAAGTTGAACATACAGAAACACGTCTGCCTCACCTGGCGTTGGAACACTGGCTAGCATAGCTTCTTGCAAACGACAGGTACTCAATAAATACGGACTGGTTGGCATACCCCAAGGGCCTCTTGCTTCCTCTAGAAATGAATCCAGAATGTGCAGGCTTAAAGTCTATTAATTGAAATAAAAGGTAATATTTTATCCTGTGATGTGTGAGGGAAGGAGTTCACCTCCTATGGTTACACCAATAATGGTTAGGCATTCAGCCAGGCTCTTAACTCTGCATAAAATGCATCAGAAGGGTGAAAAATGACCCCATTTCAGATGCATTTTTCACTCTTTGTATCTTAGTGAAACTCACATGCAAGAACAATGACTAAGCTAATTACCAGCGTTTATTATGATGGAGCAGCAAGAAGTGAAGAACTTCTCCAGTTTCAGTTAAGTCCTTAACAATTATGGGTATCTTTGTGAATCAAAGCTGAGATTCCTGCTTACTTGCCTGTGTGCCTTTCAAGCAAGAGAAACCACCACAGGAAGCTGCAGGGGCCCACTTAACCGAGAGCAGTTACTGGACAGATCCTTCCTGTGCAGCAAGCAGCCAGTGAACTGAAATCCACTGGATTTCTAAGTTGCCCTCACTTTAAGGGCTAATAGGTTTACGTCAGAGCCATCTTTCAAACCCATCAAACCAAGGGAGACATGACCAGATGGTGCTATTAGTAGGCACCAAAAAAATGAAAGAGAGAGAGAGAAAAGAAAGAAAGAAAGAAAGAAAGAAAGAAAGAAGAAAGAAAGAAAGAAAATGGGCAGAATGCCCACAAATCTAAATCAAACTCGAGTTAATCAGCTGTTTGGTGATGGAGAAGTCATAGTATTCTTGGCACACTGTCCTGCATTACAGAAATGTTCCTCAAAAAAGGTCATCTATGTAGCATCTCTAGTAGAAGTGAAGATAGGTAGCAACATTCTGTAGGATCCAATAAGACAGAGTAACTGTTTGTTAATCTAACTAAATGGGCCAGTGGAAGAAAATGGTTTGCTAAACAACACATTTTGTAAATCTTAGGGTTATTTATTTAACTGTCTTTCTGAGAGCACATTCTAGGGACCTAAATCAGAGCATAGATAGTAATTATAAAAAACACAACCCAGCTACGGCTGGGCTATAGTTTATTTACCTTAAGATGTTTTAAGTTCACGATAATATAGGCCCAAAGCTCAGGGCTTACTTGACGATTTCTATTTATCTAAGCCGGGGAATGTTTGTGTAATATTTGCCAGCCTGACAGAATATGCCGGTCACCCACTACATTAAACAGGACTACACACAACTTAATCTCCTGAGTTAGATAGCTAAGAGAGCACTAGGATTTTTTTTAACAACTTGAATAAACCAGCATCAGAACCTATTGCTTATTAAACCAAAAGGATAGTAAAATCCTCATCTTGAGCTGTCGGGAGATTTTTCTCAATTCTACAAGGACGAAACCTGGAAAAATTTCTCCAAATAAGAATTCTTCCTATGCTGAGGGACAGAGACCAAACCAGTTTAGAAAAATGTTAAACCTTTCCCTAGGACTTTAGCCTTGAAATAAACAAAATAATCCACTTTATTGCTCCAAACACCAAGCAGAGGAAAGGACAATCCTGAAAAAGCAACTAGACTTTTTACTGCAGACTTAAAATTCTCAGTAGCCAGAAGTTCTTGGGAAAATGACCCCACACATTTCTTTTCCCAAGTCACTGGAAACACTACCGTTATTTTTGAGAGAAAGCAGCCTCGCACAGTGGTGGACACAAGGTTCGATGACTGTTTACAAATATAATAACGATCTACTGTCTCTTCTGCGTGAAAGTCACCCAGCTGAGACTGGCGAGGGATTGGGCTGCTGGAATGTGGGTTGCTGACTGGTCACCTCAGAATACGGAGTACTACCCTGAGTTCTTCTAATGCTGTAATTAATACTGCTACTTCATTCCCCTCCAGCTTCCACGACATTTAGCTCTTTACAAGTTCAGGATTTAAACACTCTCCCGACAGCGGTGGTCCCGAGAGTCGATTTAGCAGAAAATTTTAAAACCCAGTTCTCATCCACACCAAGTCTTTTATGACCTTTTATTTCAATCCAAGACTTATGCATTAGAGGAAGCTTTAAGCCCTTCCAAGTTACCCAAGGCGGCTGCTCTATCAGTTTCTGCAGACCAGGAACAAACATCATCGCTGTTAAGACGGGAAATAAAAGTTTCCCTACCTTCCTCCTCACCATCCCCCAGCCAGCGGCTGCCGACGCGAGCGGCGGCTCCCTCCCGGCTGCAGGACGCCTCTCGCCGCAGGAGAAGGGGCTCATGCAAAATTGACTCTTCCTTATTTGTTTCCATCCATAATTGATGGGTAGATGAGAACGTAACACATCTCAGCGCTGGGCTCTTGCCGCCTGGCGGAGACCCTGTCCAAAACGCTTCCGTAAATCATTTCCAGTCGTAGAACAAAGCACGGAAAGTTGCGGGGGAGAGTGGCCAGCGGGAGAAACCGGGGCGCAGGGTGGGCGGTGGGGGTGGGCGGTGGGCCCCAGAGCCCGCCCGCGGCGCGCTTGGCCAGCAGGGGGAGAAGGAGGGTGGGAAGCGGCTGCCCTCCAGGCTGGAGCCGGGGCGGGAGGTGGAGGTGGCCGAGTACCCCGAGCCCCCGCCCCCGCCCCCAGGCGCTGCCGGGGGCTGTCCGAGCCAGGGGCGCACTGACAGGTAGCGGGCGTCCGCGGTGAGCACTGGGGTCTCGGCGGCGGCTCTGCGCCCCTTCTTCGAGCTCGGGCGAATGCCCGCGGGTCCGATCCTCGCCTTGCCGGCGCCGCGCGACCCCGACGGTCCCAGCGTCGGCTCCGGGGCGGGCGGGCGGAAGGGGGCGGCCGAGCCTGCGGCCGGTTCTTTCGGCCTTGGCTCGGCTTTCGCGCTGGCTGGAGACGCCGTGCCCGAGCAGCCGGGCAGCCCGGGTTCCCACTGAGAATGTGCGGGGAGAGCGCGGAGCCGGCTCTGCCTGGCAAGAAACTTTTACCTGCCCCCTCCTTTCGCTTTTTTTTCGGGGGGGGGTGTGTGCACAGTGGAGGGGGCCTCCAAGTCCTCGTGCCCCTCCCCCTAAGCCTCCAGCAATGCCAGTTTGGACCGGTCCGCCAAACCTCTCCGGCCCGCTGCGCGTCCCTTGCACCGCAGCCGGACGGGGCTGCTTGGAAGAGAAATCAACTCTCCAATGACAACACACACGCACGCACATACACAGACACACACATACAGACACACATGCACACAGGCACACGCACATACACGGGCTGCGATTCAGGCTCTGGAGATCTGGGTCCGATCCCCACAAGGCGCCCAGAGCATTAGCAGATTATAAGACCGTCTTACCTCATGGGGCGGGGGTGGGAGGGGGGTCGGCTGGTAAAAAAGAAAAAGAAAAGCAGCTCGTCACGCGCAGGGAAAAAAAGAAAATAAAGAAAAATCCGTTTTTCTCTTTAGGTCTTGGCTTCCTCGATATAATCCTGAAACTCGCCACCATCAGTCCTTGCAGCAGGGACGGCAGCAGCAGCGGGACGGAGCGGGAGCAAAACAAATCGAGGCAAGGCAAATGGTGTAATTCGATCCATCTCCAAGTCAATCCATCAGGCGAGCCGGAGCTGGTTCCCTCCCCGCACCAGGCAGCTCGCGACGCGGGGCCCACCCCCGGGCGCGGACGGCAGGAGGCGCGGGCGGCCCGGCGCGCTCACCCTCGGCCGAGCGCCGCCTGGAGGCCCCCAGCCCGGCGCCGCGGCCCCGCTGACCCCTTGGTGGCCCCCGCGTCCCTCCTCCCCGGCGCACCCTCCCTCTCCCACCTCTGAAGGGCTGCTCCTTCCAGCAACTCCCAGAGCCTCAGTCATCCAGCTCGTGGTGGCCGCTGCAGCCTGCGAAGCAGCCTTTTCGCTTTCCTTCCTCTTTCCCTCTTTTTCTCCTTCCCTCACTTTTTTTTCACAGCTTTCCTGCAGGCATCCAGAGGACAAACCATTGCAGCCCACAGGAGCTGCAGACGCAGTTGCTCTGAAGTTCGGCCTTGGTTTCCTAATCTAAGATTTATTTTTTAAGCACATCCTTACAAAACCGCCCCCATATTACCTTTCTCGTCCCCCAACCCCCTCCAATTTCTCTTTATAACCACTAAGCAAAACAGCTGGGAAGAAGCAATCAAACATTGCTTTATCTTTATAAAATACAGAAATTGCCTACTAAAAATCCCATTTCTACTTTGAATGAAAGCCATTCAGTACAGTATAATTTTGCAGGCTAATGAGCCGGTTTTACAGGCAAGTGTTTCGTGTAATATGTTGTGGGAGAAATGAAAATGTCCTTGAAGTGACATCATTTAAAACTGTCACAAATGAAAGGGAAAAAAAGGCCATATATTCCAAAACGAGGATTTTAATCCAAACTTCATTTCCAAGAACGGGGGCTGTGTTTTATTAATTTCCAGTTGAATTATGAATCACGGAGGGCTCTAAATGGCTGGAATGAACCATGGTATCCCTATTAAAAAAAAAAAAGAGAAGAGAGGTTTTTTGATAAACTTTTAATTTTCATTTGAGTATGGTTAATTACCGGGCAAGAGAGAAGGGAGCTGAGACAGGATTTTCCTTTCCTCAATGGTCCCTGCTTTCTCCCCTGCACAAAGTTACATGTTTACATTTAGGAAAAATACCCTGTTCTGAGTTGTTTCTGAAACTTCCACTGACAGCCTTGAAAAGGAACTCAAAAAAGACACCCCAAGGAACTGCATCGGGACTCATCCAGAGAACTGTTTCCTCACTAGTTAACACTTTGTTACCAAAGGGAAGAAGGAGGGAGGAGGAGGGAGAGTCTTTTAAAATATAAACTCTCTTCCTGCTGTTCTTCCTATTCGAAGAAAGGGGTAGGGGGCGGAAAGAACAGCTTTGGCAAGGCTGCTCTGTGATTTTTCTGTTGTTGTGAAGGCTTTTGTTGGCTGGCTGGCTGGTGTTTTCTGGTTGTGCTGGGCTCTGACATCATTGCAAGTTACTTGGCAGTCTGAACCCTTCCCCAGCCAACTTCTGACCCAGAAAGCTCTGCCTGTTTTACTGGCATCCAGTCATACCTCCCGCATTTTCTCCATCAAGGGAGCAAGCCCCGCTTGCAGGCAGAGGGCTCTGTGCACTGAATGAGGATGCAAGGGGATGACCAGTGGCTCCATGAGAGTCAAATTGCCACCCAACTGGAGGCATAAAGTTTAGGAGTTGTTCTATGTCTGCAGTAGCAGCAAAGGGGGGGGAAAAAAGTTCAATTCTTTAGATTCCTGAATTCGTTGCTGAAATTCCACGATGGCCAACTTTACAGAGCACCACCCCTGGGAGTGCAGTTTATCGTGGACTGAGTTCTTAAATCCAGGAAAAAAAAACTTTGAGGCTGCAGAAGGATGTGCTAATAGGTCATTTCGAGCCAAGGGTTAGACATTTTTTCAGTCTAAATATCAGTCTAGACCTCTGAGCCAATCTCGATGTTTGGTTCACTGGGGCAGGGAAGTAGGGAAGTAAACAATCCACTGACATGGAAAGAAAGACACCCTATATCTTTTGGTCGGGATCAAGACATTACTCTTAAGGATTCATCATCTCCTTGGTTCCCTGAATCTTGATATTTGGGAAAATGACATTCTTTTCATTTGGATTTTAGTGGGAAGAAGTGTAAGGGAAGTGCTCACTCTATGCAGTTTGTTAGCATTTGTCCTTTCAGTTGATTTTATACACTTTTAACCTTTCAGCCCTGTTTACTTCTCTAGTGCGACCCTCCGTCCCATGTCCCACTTTACATCCGTGTTAGGCTCTAGCATCGCATGGCCACTGGTAGATCCCCACGTGTCACACTGCTTCATGTCGCCTGTCTTCACTTGTGGTGTTTCTGCTTTTAGGGCTGCTCTTTCCCCATAATTTCAGGTACTTTAATTTCTGCTTTTCTTCACTTTTACCAAAAATTTTGTCTAGGTGTCAGAATTTCCCCGGGATGGGTTTAAGCACCTCTTTTCTATACTCTCCCAGTAAGTTCATCTGTGTAATTTACCACATTGACGGGAAAATCCCTGTTTAGGATGTCTTCCCTACTGGATGCTTCTTGCCTTTTGATCTGGATAGCCCCCGTGCCTAGCACAGTGCCTAGCATTTACTGGGTGCTCAATAAATACTTCTGAAACAGGTCAGGTAAGGGAGCCTACAACTTGCTCATATTCTTTTATGTGCTAAACCAGAGAGTATAGTCATCTCTAGATTGTGTGCTCCTCCAGAGTAGGGATTTATTCACCTGTATCCCCTGAGCAAGCAGAGTACCCTTGTAAGGATATTGGTTGAGTGAGTGAGCAATGAAGGAAGAAAGAAAGAAGAAAGGAAGGAAGACAGCTGGCTCTTTCCACACTCAGGAAGGATACTTAAAGGACTCACTGCTGTAGATGGTTAGTGATGATGCTTTAGTGTTATCTGCATACATCTCCCATTAGCGCTAAGTAGTAACTTAATTCACAATCCTTTTTATGTTTGTTTCCTTTAGGAGTAAAATTCATAATTTAATTTCTATGTTTCATTCCCAATCTTGTTTTCAGAAAAAAAGCTATCTGAAAATTATAGAGAATCTGCGTGTCAATGAAAGTATATCAGTCATCAAAGAGTACAACTCATTAACTACTACAGCACAAAGCATTAGTGCTCAATATGTGCCAAACTCTGTTCCTAGCATTTTACAAATATTAACTCACAACAATTCTATGAGGTAAGTACTATTATTATCTTCATTTTATAGAAGAGGAAACGAAGCTTACAGAGTTCAAGTGACTTGCCTAAGGCCACACAGGCAGTAACTAAGTAGGACCCGAACCCTGCCTCTTGCTTAGTTGTAACAGTGTTTAATAGCAAGGTCACAGTTAATAGTAGTAGTTAATAGTGAAGGCTTTAAAACATTAGACAGCCTGGATTCAAGTCCATGCTCCTCCTCTCTTGGGATAATTTATTTGACTACACTGTGCTTCAGTCTTCTCATCTGTGAAACAGGGGTGATAACAATATTTCAAATGGGACTTATGAAGACTGAATGTGATAATGCATGTAAAGTGCTTAGCATCTTACCTGGAACACAGCAAGCACTGAATAAATATTAGCTAATGTTATTATACATGCCCGGAAGGCAGTGCAATCTTGGAAGCCTGCAGAATTGAAAGGGAAACTTAATCCAACCTCACATTAAATGTGAGCCTTAGCACAAAAGCACATGGTATACAATAGGTTTGCAATACCTTTTTGTTCCATTCCCTCATCTATGTCTATGTATCTGTTAATTCAGATACACACACTACTCACTACCCAGTGGATATGAAATACCATTTTTGCATGAATTTTAATGAATAATACAGTTTAGGATCTAGAATTTTAGGATCTAGAATTTCATGTTCCAGAATAAAAAGAGAGGTATTGAAATTTCAAAGGTAGCTGCAGCACCTGTGATTACTGTAATTTGGAATGCACATATAGTATTCCTTGCATTCGCACATTATAGAAAGTGCTTTTGTGGCAAGGGATTGCTTTCAAAACTAATCTAAGCTCTCCATGACATGATAAAT